GACGGCAGACCTCATTTGCTGGGTGTTATTTTTAATGCACTTTATTACCGAGGTGAAAATAGAACGAAGAAAGAGCGAAAATCACAGCCAGGGAAAAGGAGAGCCTCTCCCCTCCCCAACAAACTAAAGAAGGGGCAGGCAGCCGAATGCAGGAGTGTGAATTCTGCCATATGTGTGATTTTTCTCTCTCTTTAGCAAATGACGTAGGTTGGAGATCTTCCAGCTTCTCTTCTGTTGCTGTGGGATTCTCCGCGGAGCTGCTCCCTCCATCCTTCGAGCTCCTTCCTCCCCTTTGCTGCCAATCATGGCAGGCTGAGTTTGACTTCTGGCAGGGGTTCAACGCTGTGGTGTCAGGGGACCCAGTTCACTGATGCCCAAGTCACAATCGCCCAGTCACTGAGGTCCCCAGTGCTGGAGAACCTCTGACCTACAGGGCCTTCCTCTTTGGCCTGTAGGGTCTTGTTGGTCCACCTTCCTTAAACCTAACATTGCAATACATCAAGGACTGCTTCTCTCCATAAGAACCTCCCTGGACTCTGCGGTCATCATCTGAGACCCTTCTTCGGGGTCCAGATGGCGGCAACACGAGAACGGGCAATTTCTGCAGTGGCTCCCCGTTTGCAGAATGCTCTTCCTAGGGAGATTCGCCTGGCAGCAAGTGAAGAATATTAGCATTATTTGGTTATCAAGCACATTGCATTTAGGGCGGTTCCCTTGCCAAGCCGAGAGGGCACAAAAGATCCATAATTGAGAAGATCCATTTGGGGGCACTAGACAGCATCCTGAAAAGCAGAGACATCACCTTGCCAACAAAGGTCCGTATAGTTAAAGCTATGGTTTTCCCAGTAGTGATGTATGGAGGTGAGAGCTGGACCATAAAGAAGGCTGATCGCCAAAGAATGGATGCTTTTGAATTATGGTGCTGGAGGAGACTCTTGAGAGTCCCATGGACTGCAAGAAGATCAAACCTATCCATTCTGAAGGAAATCAGCCCTGAGTTCTCACTGGAAGGACAGATCGTGAAGTTGAGGCTCCAATACTTTGGCCACCTCATGAGAAGAGAAGACTCCCTGGAAAAGACCCTGATGTTGGGAAAGATGGAGGGCACAAGGAGGAGGGGACAACAGAGGACGAGATGGTTGGACAGTGTTCTTGAAGCTATGAACATGAGTTTGACCGAGCTGTGGGAGGCAGTGGAAGACAGAAGTGCCTGGCGTGCTCTGGTCCATGGGGTCACGAAGAGTCGGACATGACTAAACGACTAAACAACAACAACAATTTGGGGGCACCACACATTATGAAAGATTAAGCCCGCCCTTGTATGAAGTATAATTCCAGTTTTGCTAGGTATTTCAGATATTTTTCTGGCAGGTCTTGGTGAAATTTTTTATGCGTCCCCCATACTCCAGGAGTTCATGCAGAGTTCCTTGGTGGTTTGAAGCATCCCCTGTCTCTATGCCCTCCAGCTGACGCATGGTGATGCTTTGACATCCCTGCACCAAATGTCATAGCAGAGTGAGAACCGGCTTGCTAGCATTGCTCCGATGCAATTTCACTTGCTTTGAGAGCCTCTCTGTCCTGCAATACACAGACCCACACACTATGATCCCCTCTCCTGTGCAAGCGTCACAAGTTGTCACTCAGGGTCAGAGAAAGGTCTGCCTTCATTCAGCCAGCGGACTGTTGTGTCGAGACCCTCCTCAAACATTTGCAGCAAGGGAGAGTGACAACTGGTTCCCTGGAAGCAGACTGCGTGACCATGGGCTGCTTACTTTCTCTCAGTTCAGGCCTTCTTCCAAGGGGGCCAACAAATAAAATATAGGGGGAGGCCCCGCCCCACAGAACTGATCAAAATACACTATTTGAATGGAAGATCACTAAAGAATTTATTTATACAGCTGTACCTCGGGTTACATACGCTTCAGGTTACAGACTCCGCTAACCCAGAAATAGTGCTTCAGGTTAAGAACTTTGCTTCAGGATGAGAACAGAAATTGTGCTCCGGTGGCAGCGGCAGCAGGAGGCCACATTAGCTAAAGTGGTGCTTCAGGTTAAGAACAGTTTCAGGTTAAGTACGGACCTCCAGAACAAATTAAGTACTTAACCCGAGGTACCACTGTATATGCAACTACGGCTGCACGAACATTATTAGCACAAAATTGGAAGGAAGAAGGTGTCCTACTTAAAGAATTTTGGCAAGTTGAATTAATGGAATATGCTGAAATGGCAAAACTGACAATGAAACTAAGAGGAAGAGACGATAACGAATTTGAGGAAGATTGGCAGGACTTTATTGCATATATTCAGAAGCAATGTACTCAGGTTAATACATTAGCAGGGTTTTAAGACTACTTGTAATTTTATCTTGAATGGACAATAAGTAATTCAATGGTTTATAACTTTACAATGGACTTGCAGTGTGTTGATAAACAATGGAACCAAGGAAGGGAAGGGGGAAGTCCATTTGTTCTGCTTTGTTTTGTCTTGATATTGTTATTGGTTTATTTTTGTTATTTTTGGAAAATTAATAAAATGTTATACACACACACACACACACACACACACACACTATTTGAATGGCAATGCTCATCAGCTGGAGGGGGTGCTGGCCCCTTTAAGGGACCTCAGCCCTCAGGAGTTGTCTCCTGCGCCACCTAGAATTGTGGAGTGGGAAGGGACCCCAAGGGACATCTAGTCCAACCCCCTGCAATGCGGGAATCTCAAACCAAATCATCCATGACAGATGACCATCCAACCTCTGCTTAAAAAGCTCCAATGAAGCAGAGTGCATAACCTCCCACTGGAGTCCGCTCCACTGTTCCACTGCTCTTGCTGCCAGAATAGTCAGACAACTACAGCAGAGGCTGGTCCATTGAGGTGCATGAAGCATGTGTGCGTACACACACGCTTCTGGGCCTAGGTGGCTGGCACCCCTCCCTGAGCTTGTGCTCCGAGCTGAACTTTTGGAGCAATGGGTGGCCGTGCCTCAAAACATGGCAAATTAAGTGAGCATACATGACGTACAATTAAAACACATCCCTCTTCTCCAAACAATCCTACGAACTGTTTGCCCCTTGCAGGGCTACAGTTCCTAGAAAGCCTAACAAACTACAGTTCCCATGATTCTTTAGGGCAGGGGTCAGCAACCTTTTTCAGCCGTGGGCCAGTCCACCGTCCCTCAGACCTTGTGGTGGCCCAGACTATATTTTGTGGGGGGAAATGAATTAATTCCTACACCCCACAAAAAACCCAGAGGTGCACTTTAAATAAAAGGACACATTCTACTCATGTAAAAACACGCTGATTCCTGGACCATCCGCGGGCCGGATTGAGAAGGCTATTGGGCCGCATCCGGCCCCCGGGCCTTAGGTTGCCTACCCCTGCTTTAGGGGATGTGTGCTTAGTTTAAATCAGCCTTTCTCAACCTGTGGGTCCCCAGATGTTGTTGAACTACAACTCCCATCACCCCTAGCTAGCAAGGCCAGAGCTCAGGGATGATGGGAGTTGTAGCCCAACAACATCTGGGGACCCACAGGTTGAGAACCACTGGTTTAAATGCATGCTGTGTATGTAGTCTAACGCTCTTCTCCAGAGTTGGTAAGCTCCAAAATACTTGTTTTGTGTTGGTCCTGCCGTCCACTCTAAATCTGATCATCCCTGGACCTGGCATTCGAAGAAATCCATATCATTTGATTTTCAAGCATAAATAAGCACCTTCTTCTAGGGGCTTTCTGGCTCAAAGTCCAAAGGATAGACATGAAACAGAGTATTTTTGCCACTCCTGGCCCTTTCCTAGCGGGAAACATCTGTACTGTGCTAACAGGCCTGGCTACATTCCCTCAGAGAGAAACAATTTACACTTCTGCCAATGGGCCTTTAGCAACTAAATTAATTAAGCTAATGGATACTTGTTGAAAAAGGTCTACTTGGCTGAAAGGGGGAAAGCGGGCATAAATAACAGAACAGGAATCTGTGGGATGACATTGTGTGGGGATGGCCATAGCTCGTCAGCTAATTAAAGCAGTTTCTCTCCAAACTTTGAGTAGAAGATGCTTAGCCTTTTCAGAACTTAAACACCATTTCTACAAGCAAAAGGAGCTATTTTCCGGTGGGGGGCGTCAATCACACGCCAGCAAATTCAGGTTACATCATTATAGATTAACTTATTATTCCTATTTATTAAATTTGTATATCGCCTTCATTTAAGAAGAAGAAGAAGAAGAGTTTGGATTTGATATCCCGTTTTATCACTACCCGAAGGAGTCTCAAAGCGGCTAACATTCTCCTTTCCCTTCCTCCCCCACAACAAACACTCTGAGATGAGTGGAGCTGAGAGACTTAAGAGGAGTGTAACTAGCCCAAGGTCACCCAGCAGCTGCATGTGGAGGAGCGGGGAATCAAACCCGGTTCACCAGATTACGAGTCTACCGCTCTTAACCACTACACCAAGCTGGCTCTCACAGGGCAGTCCACAACATAAAAAGGAAAACAGGTCTGGTGCAGCAAAGTCAATTCTCCCCAAAGAGCAAACATTTTGCAACAAGGACAGTGACAGGAAGGGTGGAATAATCCTGGCTTTGAAACAACGTCATCTAACATCCCTGCAAACGTATCGGAATGAAAGCTCATTAAATGGCCAATGCTGTCTAGTCTCCCTGCAAAGCAAATCAGGATGAACGCTCAATAAACAGGCTATCTGGAAGTAGCCTCTGGTCAACACTTTTGTGCTGCTTGCACAAAGCCACACCTTCCTTCCTTGAGGCAGGGGTTTGCATGGTGTTGATTGGCTAGCCCTTGTGTCCGTCATGAAGCCACCTACCCACCCATATCATCTTAGAGCATTACGAGGGTAATAAAACACTAAGCATACATTTGAGCAAACTTGGAGGAACTTGGGGGTGGGGGGAAGCAGCAGACAGCCCTACTGGCGCATGGGAAAGGTGACCAGGGGGACCAGAGACTCTGTGAGACTTATTGCAGGAGCAAAGTCATGGGGTTCAGGAGAAGTCATTCCACATAGCAGAAAGATCCACCATTGCCTCTAGGGTTGCCAAGTCAGGAGCATCTCAGACCCTTGTGATGTCATAAGAGAGGCCCCTGATGATGTCACAGGGAAGGACCCTGGAGATGGAGGTTAATTGGGAGAATGGAGCAGAGGAGGATAGACCCCCACACCCAGAGTTTCTATGCTATAATTTCCAGCCAACTCCTACAAAGCTGAATCTTGCAAGCTGTGTGCAGTCTTCTTAATATGTTGTTGTTGTTGTTGTTGTTGTGACTCTTGCTCACCTGGCAATTCAAGCCTTCCACCTGCCCCCTGGAGGGTGGCCGGGCAAACCTAGAAAATTCAGGTCAGACCTGGAGGTCTGGCAACCCTAATTAGTTCCTATTTGTATCAAAGGCAGATTTAGGGCAGCGTGACTGGTTGCCCCACACAGGGCTCCCAGCTGAGGGGGCACCTTTCCTACTCTTTCCCAAAGCCTAGTAAGTACAGTGGTACCTCGGGTTAAGTACTTAATTCGTTCCGGAAGCCTGTTCTTAACCTGAAACTGTTTTTAACCTGAAGCACCACTTTAGCTAACAGGGCCTCCTGCTGCCACCGCGCCGCTGGAGCATGATTTCTGTTCTCATTCTGAAGCAAAGTTCTTAACCCAAGGTACTATTTCTGGGTTAACAGATTCTGTAACCTGAAGCGTATGTAACCCGAGGTACCACTGTACTTGCTTTAGGAAGGCGGCGTGAGGGCTCTGACAGAGTCCTGGAGTCCTCCCTTCTCCTTCCCTGTAAGTACTTGTCCAGCTTTGGGAAGGGGCTGGGGTGGATATAGAGGACCCTGCCAGAGCCTCATGGCTCCTTCCCAGAGCCCAGCGCCTCGCTTACCCGACTTTGGAAAGGCAGCACAAGGGCTGGGGGTGGGCATCAAATTTCAGCCTTGCACAGGGCGCCATATTACCAAGGTCCCCCCCCGTTTGTATGAAGTGTAAGACTTCTCCCCACACACTTCCAGGCATTTCTTTGCCTAAGGACTAGGAACATGAGTGATGGTTGTTTTCTAAAGCAGTGGTTTAGACCACAACGCTACCCACTCAGCGCCACTGAGCCTCTTGGGCTTGCTGATCGGAAGGTTGGCGGTTCGAATCTGGGCAACAGGGTGAGCTCCTGTTGCTCTGTCCCAACTTCTGCCAACCTAGCAGTTTGAAAGCATGCCAGTGCAGGTAGATAAATAGGTACCGCTGCAGCAGGAAGGTAAACAGTGTTTCCGTGCTCTCTGGCTCATCACATTGTGCCAGAAGTGGTTTAGTCATGCTGGCCACATGACCCGGAAAGCTGTCTGTGGACAAACGCCGGCTCCCTCAGCCTGAAAACGAGATGAGCGCCGCAACCCCATAAGTTGCCTTTGACTGGACTTAACTGTCCAGGGGTCCTTTACCTTTTTTAAAGCAAGCCAGCCATGGTTTTCCTCATACTGCATTCTGCACCTGATACTAGAATCAGCGCATCAGAAAACACTCTGTATGTTCCTCCAAAGTGCCTGGAAGGGCAATCCTGGATGCAGTTCCTTGACCATAAGCCCTGTTGAACACAGTGGGGCTTTCTTCTGAGTAAAACATGCATGCAGTCGCAAAGACTGACAGTCCAAAGAAAGGCATCTTGCCGCATCCAAATAGGGCTGTGCTGAAATATTTATGCACACCCTAAATAATAGATTGGGTAGTGGCAAAAAAAGAGAGACATCTCATTTTATGTACGTCTTTGCTGTCATGTTTCATTTTTAGCACTGGAGCAGGCACAATAGTTTACGGAATGTAACAACTACACCCCCATCTGAAGCAAAAAATAATATTTCCCCCCCCGCCTCCTTTTTTTAAGTGTCCATCTTTTCAGCTTTTGCTATTCCTCATCCTAAGGGGAAGAACCACATAGCTGGGTCCAGATGCTCAACTGGTCAAGTCAGCATTTGCCTCACGTCTTATCTGTGGACACCTCTGCAATTAAACTCTCCAAATCATCTGCTCCATTTTGCATTATGTTGACCCACTTTCCAGCTGTTCGTTAATAACGTTTGTTGTGCGGAAGGGGGTCCCGATCACTCGGTCTTGCTAACGCAAAGCATGCAAGGAAAAACGGGGCCCAGGCCTCACACACCCCCAGGGGACTTGCACACGACCTAGAAACCTCCAAAGATGGTACAGAGGTGAGGCAACTCCAGGTGTGCAGGGTCAGTACTGCTCTCTGTGAGACCCCACCAACCTGGTGCAAAAATCACACACTCAAGAGGTAGATCATTATGAGCCCAGGAATTTGTTTTGAGTATTAGAACTGGATGGCACTCTCAGTCCTTCTGCTCCAAAATCCACTCCTGGTCACCCCAGGCATTCTTCATTTCAGAGGCTTACCGGAATGACACCTCCACCTCCGCAAATTTGTCATTTTGGTGCACAATTTTGCCTAATATACACACTTTTGCAAAGTCGTTTCCCATAAAAGAACGCATTCTTCTGTTGTTTTCATGAATGTATGCATTTAAACACGTGTGCATTTCCCCCCTATGCGTTTCTTGAATGGAGAACTGCCTTGTGAAATTCAGAGAAGTAAAAAATTTCAGCGGGTTGCTGTGTTTCGATCCCTGGATTGTTCTGGAAAGGGCAAATTGGACAAGTTTGCCTTTCGAGGTGAAATGAGTTCAGTTTCTCCCTCACCTCTCCCTGCCAGTTCACAATGGGCTGCCCTGTCCTGCGGTTCTGTTGAAATCCCCACCCCTAGTGCTATTTAGCTGGAGAGGGAAAGGAAGTGGAATGGAGTATCACAGATGGGGGCAAGGCTGGCTGCTGGAACCCTGAGCACTCCACGCTACAACATTTTGCTGCAGCGCCCATCCTGGTGTGAGCTTATAAAAGGGACCAGCTACCAAATTCTCGTCACTTACCCCCCAGCCATTACTCCTCCTTTAAATCATTTCTCTCCCCACCCACACCTTTAAGCCTCCACAATGTTTCAAAAATCACTTGGTCTGTGATTATGCCATTCCTGACGGTTGCCACAATAATCCTCCAAATTCATTGCACTGAACCTCTCAGGGTTCCTTTCAAGAACTGCGCCTTAATGAAACCATGTAGGTTTGTTCCGTATTGCAGACTCCTGGTGGTTTCCTAATAGCCAAGTTGTTCCAGCATTAGCGTCGCTGAGTTCCTTTTGTCCTCACGGTCTGATTATGCCTGCTAAGACATTACAGCAATTTTTAAAAGCAGGTTTGATGCCTCTGTGGGGAAAAGAGAGAGAGAGAGAGCAAGAACACTCCTGAGCGCCACCAAAATGAACAACTCTCTGCATGACATTGAAAGGCAAAGGCATTTCAAAGGGAGGGAAAAGAAAGTGTGTAGCAGGTTTCGGGAGCAGAGCAACCCACGAAATCTCTGGAAGCAAATAAATTAGGGTGTGGGTATTTTGACATTTGAAAGGGGGGAGAGATATAGACTAGTCGGGAGACTTCCAGCGGAGTTCAGGCTTCTAAGCTCAGTTCTCTGTCTAGTTGGGGCAAACATTATTGCTCGCCTAGAGAGACTGGATATTTTCAATAGGAGGGCCTGAAGACATGCACATCACCAAAGAAGAGAGACAGGGAGAAATGCATTACACACACACACCCCCAAAAAAATTAGATGACAAAGGATGCTGTTCTATAGGCATGGAATTTGCACGAGTTGGTTTAAATAAATAGATGCACATTAAAACAAATTGGGACGCGGGTGGCGCTGTGGGTTAAACCACAGAGCCTAGGACTTGCCGATCAGAAAGTCGGTGGTTCAAATCCCCGCGATGGGGTGAGCTCCCGTTGCTCGGTCCCTGTTCCTGCCAACCTAGCAGTTCAAAAGCACGTGAAAGTGCAAGTAGATAAATAGGTACCGCTCTGGCGGGAAGGTAAACAGCGTTTCCGTGCGCTGCTCTGGTTCGCCAGAAGCGGCTTAGTCATGCTGGCCACATGCTGGCTGTACGCCGGCTGCCTTGGCCAATAAAGCGAGATGAGCGCCACAACCCCAGAGTCGGCCACGACTGGACTTAATGATCAGGGGTCCCTTTACCTTTACCTTTTAAAACAAATTGCCTATTGAATTGTGAATAGCCTTCCAAGGATTTAGGGGTATTTTAAACTGAAAAGCAGCCTCGAAGGCTGGATTCAGGTGAAGAAAAGCAACGTGGAAGGAAATGCTTCATCCGTTACTTTCTTGCCATTGCAAACTTTTGCATCTTTCCCCATATACATAGAAGGGCCATAAGGAGAATGGAATTATTATTATTATTATTATTATTATTATTATTATTATTAATTTTCCAAGTGGAGCAGGGGAGAGCGGTGGGAGTTTAATTGCAAAAAAAGGGGGGCAGTGGGGAAAGGGTCAAGAGTACCATCTCTCAATGCTGCTTCTCAATTCAAACTGGCAGGTTTCAGAGGTCCCCTCTTCCCCCCCCCCCATCTCAGGTGGCATCCCTAACAAGTGGCTATTCAACCTCTGCTTAAAAACCTCTGAGGTCCACCACCTTCCAAGGGAGTCCGTCCCACTGTCTAACAGCTCTTACTGATGTTTAGTTGGAATCTCCTTTCCTGTAACTTGAAGTCATTAGTTTGTGTCCTATCCTCAGGAGCAGGAGAAAACAAGCTTTCACCATCTTCCACGTGACAGCCCTTAAGATATTTGAAGATGGCTAGCCTATCTCCTCTACGTCTCCTCTTTTCCAGGCTAAACATACTCAGCTCCCTCAACTGTTCCTCATAAGGCTTTGCTTCCAGACCCTTAATCATCTTGGTCTGCCCTCCATATAAATGGAATAAACAAATGATTTGTCTACCTGGAGGAATCCGCTGAGAAGGCTAGATCTGTGCCTTTAAACAGAGCACCATGTGCCATTTTCCCATCTAAGCCCAGCTGCCAGTTCTGATTACACAGAGCATTTCTTGAAAGAGAAACACTTTCCAGTAATCTCGCTAACCGTCACACCTTTTCTGGCATATACAGGTCACTTTTAGGTAGCAGTTCAGTCTGCCAAGGTCTTTCTCATTCATGCAGTGGGATAGATAGCTGTCATTACCACCTTCCTCCTTTTGAGAGCCTAACTAGATGCTTCAGGGGATGCGTGGTGGCTGCCAGCATCTACTGAAAGAAGACTAACAAATGTGTATTTATTACTTGCTCCACGAGCTAATCGCGAAGAAAAGACCTAGGTGACCTTAAACACACACACAAGGGTTGCAGAAATACCTATTTGCAGGTAGCTGTGGGCGGCCCAGCTTGGACAGAACAGAGAGAAGGACCCAAATTATCTCATCAGTTGCTTTGATGTCTTCCTTTCCCTGAATCCAAGTTCCATCACTGGAGCAGTTATTGGCAAGACTCCTGGGGATTTTAGGAGGGGGTCCAATTAAGTGGCAGCAGAGTATGTTCACAGTCACAGAGCTGAATTCATACCCTTCCTCTCTTTATCCTCGCCCACTCTGCTGCCTGCTCTGCACCACCTTTGGGCAGGGACCTCCCCTCTTGTTCCTACACCGTACAGAGGATGGCATCAATGGTACGGTCACCTCCGAGGCAGAGATGAGAAGAGCCCATCATTTTGGGGGAGGGGGAGGAAACAACCCCCACCTCATCTGCAGAGCTGAAGGCAAGTGGATCTGTGCAGTTAATTAATTGCCAATTGATGTTTACATAGCGGCAGGGATAATATCGACAAAAATATTTATGAATTGCAGCGCGAAGACCACTCCATGCAAAGAGCAATAGATTTCAAGAACAAATATAAATATGGATTAAACAGCTCATGATTGGGTTAAAAACACTGAATTAACCTCAGGCACCTCAAGCTTTACCCAGAGATAAAAGATTGACAGCACTCCTGAAAGATGTTCTGTTCTAGTTTAGCAGATCACCTGAGAGGGAGGAGGAATAGCAACTGAGCACCTCACCAGACACCTTTGCTGCCTGTCTGGGCTTATAGAATTGTAGGGTCATAGAATCATAGAATCATAGAGTTGGAAGAGACCACAAGGGCCATCGAGTCCAACCCCCTGCCAAGCAGGAAACACCATCAGAGCACTCCTGACATATGGTTGTCAAGCCTCTGCTTAAAGACCTCCAAAGAAGGAGACTCCACCACACTCCTTGGCAGCAAATTCCACTGTCGAACAGCTCTTACTGTCAGGAAGTTCTTCCTAATGTTTAGGTGGAATCTTCTTTCTTGTAGTTTGGATCCATTGCTCCGTGTTCGTTTCTCTGGAGCAGCAGAAAACAACCTTTCTCCCTCCTCTTTGTGACATCCTTTTATATATTTGAACATGGCTATCATATCACCCCTTAACCTCCTCTTCTCCAGGCTAAACATGCCCAGCTCCCTTAGCCATTCCTCATAAGGCATTGTTTCCAGGCCTTTGGCCATTTTGGTTGCCCTCCTCTGGACACGTTCCAGTTTGTCAGTGTCCTTCTTGAACTGTGGTGCCCAGAACTGGACACAGTACTCCAGGTGAGGTCTGACCAGAGCAGAATACAGTGGCACTATTACTTCCCTTGATCTAGATGCTATACTCCTATTGATGCAGCCCAGAATTGCATTGGCCTTTTTTAGCTGCCGCGTCACACTGTTGGCTCATGCCAAGTTTGTGGTCAACCAAGACTCCTAGATCCTTTTCACATGTACTGCTCTCAAGCCAGGTGTCACCCATCTTGTATTTGTGCCTCTAATCCAACTCTCTGTGGTGCAGGAATCTCAGCTAAAGCATCCACGACAGGTGGCCATCCAAGATCTGTCTAAAAACCTCCAAGGAAGGAGAGTCCACCACCTCTCATGGGAGTTAATTCCACTGCTGAACAGCTCTTAGTGTCAGAAAGTTTTCCTGAATGTTTAGTCAGAATCTCCTTTCTGGTAACTTGGGATCCATTGGTCCTAGCTTCCAGAGGAGGAGAAAACAAGCTTGCTCCGATCTTCTGTGTGTGACAGCCTTTTAGATACATGAAGATGCCT